TTACTCACTTGAAAGTTTAAATTCAAGAAGTAGTTGAGGAAAGAGAGAAAGTGAGTCTATAGAAGAGAATGAAAAAAAGGTAAGAAACCTAAACATTGAAAAATGAAGGAAAAAAGAACAAAAATGAACAAAAGAAAAAAAGAAAGAAAAAGATGAGAGGAGAGAAAAATAGAAAAAGAAAAAATAACCCCAAATAAAAAAATAACTACCAAATACAGAAGAAAACAAGATGACAGCCAGTCAGACAGGAGAGGGAGAATGAAAGTAGTAAAATACCTCTGGTGCTTACAGTTCTGTGATAGTGTCCATGTTTAATCCCAGAAATGTGTTGGTCATGGAGCTGATCTTGGCCTCTGGATGTGAGGCCTGGGACTGGACTGCTGCTGGTGGGGCTCTCCAGAGTCCAGCTGCTGGTTCCTCACTGCTTCAGACACTTCCATGCTGCTTGCCTCACCAATTACCCTGCCCTCCAAGGGCATGTGTGAGCCTGTGCACCTGTGACATGGCTGTTATCCTGGGTCTTAGGTCTTGGGGTTGCTGTCAGTCTACTTGACAAAGGCATGTGCCTTACACTCCTCTCAGAGACCCTGCTGTCCCCAAGGCAATGGAGGAAGTGCAGACTCTCACTCTACTCACAGACCCCACCATCACAGACAGAATGGAGGAAGCTCAGAGCATGGACTCCCTCTGCTCACATGCCCCGTCATCCCAGAGAGAAAACTTATCCCTGTTCAAAGTTTGTTTTATATTTTTTACTGATGCTAAACTCTTCAGCAATCACACCTTAGGCCCCAACTTTACATGTGGTTCTTTCGGGTCCAAAATTTAAGTTTTTCAAGCCTTTTTGCTGAGCTTTTTGCTCCTGGTTCTCACCATAAATTTGGCTAAAATCAGCCAGTAGTATCTAAACCACAGCCTGAATGTTGGACTGTCTTGAAATTCCTTCTGCCAATCAATTAACTGTTAAATTCAGCTAGAAATTAGCTCACATGGCCTGTGGTCCTGTTCCCAATAGAGTCTTCATTTCCATTTGAAACCTCACGAGCCTGGCATTTACTGTCTGCATTCCTATCAACATTTTGACTTTCTGAGCTCTTACAAGAACTGCCCATCAGGCACTGCTTACAGCAGTTCAGGCCTTGTCTAGCATCTCCAAACTTCTGAATTCCTGCAAACCAGTTCCAAAGTCACAAAAACAACCCCGCTACTCTGGTTATCAGTTTTCTGTACTGGTCAAATTTTCATCACTGAAACCAAATACCTAACATACACACTTAAAGGAGGAAAGGATTATTTTTGGCTTACAGCTTCAGAGGTTTTAGCCCACTGTTAGCTGGCTGCAAGGCAGAACCATCACGGCAGAGGGACGTGGCATGAGAAAACTGCTTACTTTGAGGTAGCCGGGAAGCAGAGCCCAGGGGGAAAAACACCCGAGAATGATAAACCCTCCTCAGATTGTGTTCCTGGTGTCCAACCTTTTCCAACTGAGCCCTTCCTCCTCTCTTCCTCACCACTCGCTCAGCTATGAACATCAGAGGATTAACCCACCCATGAATATACCTCCCACGATCCTGTGACCTCCCCAGGAGTCTTAATCCAGTCAAAATGACAAGAAAGATTAATTGGCACAGCAAATAAGAGATAATATAAAACTGTGATCTCTGAGCATTTCTAAAAAGATGCCAAGTGTTGCAAATTATTTACAATGTGTAGTAATAGCACCAAAAACTACTGTCGTGAATTTTGCATTCTGCTTGAAAGGAGGAATGTCCCTAAATCTAAAGCAGGAAATGTGACAGCTTGCTTTAATGTGTCAAGCAGCTTGTATGTAAGAACCAGATGTAGACATGAACTATCCTCCCGTCGTGTGCTCCAGTGGGCTTCTTTGCCTTACTTGCATCACTTATGCCAATTCCGGACCTGAAAGGACCAAAGAAATTGCACGATGTACCTATGGACCAGTCCTTTATACTCCTTCAGAACAAAGTGCTTTGCTCTATTCTTATCATTTCCAGGTAATAACAATGACATCTGATTCCTGAGTTATTCATTCTGTGAAGAATATTCTGTTTTGGGATAAATGCCTGTCTTAGTTACTTTTTTCTCATTGCTGAGACAAAATACACAACACCCAAATTTAAGGAAGGTTTATTTAGGTCACACTTTGTAGCAGCTTCAGTCCCTATCAGCTTGCTCCAAGGTATGGTGGCACATGGCAGTGGGCCAACAGTTCAGGGCAGCAGAAGACAGCAAAAGCAACAAGAGCAAAAGAGAAACAAGCCTCTTTGTTCCCCTTTTATCTTATCCAGACTGCTGGGATTAGGGCTGTGCCAACCCAATCAGTGGATTTATCCAGCAATCATCCCCCCTTAATCCCTGCACCCTTAATGCTAGTGTTGAACCACGAATCAATCACAAACTCTAGATTCAGCTACTTCTGAAAAAGCCCCATCTAAAAGTGCTTGAGGCTTTGGGGGGACATCTACACAAAAATTATAGCAATGCCTACATAGTATTTATTATTATTAATGAGACTACTTGAGTTGCTAGATCTTAAAAGACAGCATTTCAGTACAAAAAAAAAAAAGTGTACTTTTGTCTTGTGGTAAGAGACTGAACCTAAGGCCTTGCACATGCTAGAAAAACTCTCTCCCAGTGAACTACATCTTCAGTCCTTTTTTATTTTGAGATAGAGTCTTGCTAAATTGTCCAAATTGGCCGGGAACTTGCAATCTCTTGCCTCAGTCTCTTAGTAGCTGGATTACAGGCATGAGCTGCTGTGGCTAGACCAAATAGATTTTTAATAATAGAACTGCATTACAAGTATTTGTTTTACAAGAACATAAAATTGGGTGCTGTGTATACATCAATTTTTCTACCTAAATCGAATACTCTTTAAGTAAATTAGAGGCTTATTCTGGTCAGGTTGGAAATACCAATCCTGGTAGTTTCCTTTTTCTGAGATTGATGATTATTAATTCATGGTTCTTAATGTGGGTGTTATGGCTTATACTAGATGTCCCCCTAAAGCCTCACACACCCATAGATGGGGCTTTTGGGAAGTGGCTGGACCATGAGTGTGTGATGAATTAAAGGTATGTTAACTAGGTTACTCCACTGATTGGTTTGGTATAGGTCTGGGTGTAGGTGGCACCAACCAATAGGCTTACAGCACAGATGGAATAAAAAGGGAAAGACGGAAGGTAGGCTTGCTGTCTCCTGCCTGCACAACATGAGCTGTTTCTCTGCTGCATGTCCTTTTGTCATGCTGCCCACTGTCTTGCAGCCCACTGACTATTGCCTGAAATCTCTACAGACCGGGAGCTGAAATAAACTTTTCCTCCTTTAACTGGTGTTGGGTATTTTGTCCCACCAATGAGACAGTAACTAAGACAGTGTATTTTAAGTTTATTGATGCCTTGATGACATAGTCAAGAACCAGTCCTTTAGAGTTTTAACTATTACTGAGCAGCTAATGTTCAGAAAGATGTTTCTATAAATATTCAATATAAACTAAGTGATGAACTGATAGAAACGGAAGTTGAAATCTAGGATTCTTTCATACATAATGAACCGAAGGAAAACTATTAACATAAGATTGCTAATGTAGATCTAGCAATCCATTATGACATTGATAAAGGTTATGTCTGAGAGAATTAAATTAGCATTTTCAAATCCAGTGATGGTCCCCCTTCAAGATGTTAATCATAAAACAAAATAAAGGATTGAGACCCCAAGTTAAACAAGATTTCTCAATCACACAACAGTGCTCCACTTTGAAACCTGAACCAATCAAAAAACAACTTTATCCCTTTCTATTCTAACTAGCCTCCTACTTCACAAGACTAGCCAATAAAATGACCCAAACCAAACTCATCTTAACTTCCTGACTGAAAATTTGCCTTAGGTTGTCTCCCTTCTTAGACCAAGCTAAACAAACTTGGCTTTGGAGGGGACTATAGGCATGTTTCCAATTTTGTATTGGTGAGCTTCAAATCTGTTTTTCTTTTTTCTTTTAGTTTTGGTGTTGAGACAGGGTCTCGCTTTGTAATTCAGGCTACCTTAAACTCACTCAGTAGCCCAGGCTGGCCTCAAACTCCCAGTGATCCTCCTACCTGCATCTCCCGAGTTTTAGAATTACAAGCGTGCGCCACCACTCCTGGCTTCAAATCTTTCTTTATACTCTTTTCCAACTACCCAGGGAAGAAAAATCACTATTGATACTTAACTAAGCTTCCTATTTCAGGCATGATTTGGTTGGTAGTTTGACATGGTTCTCGTCATATCACTAGCATTTTTGAAAAATAAGCTTTTAGAAATCTTAGGTAAACACTTTTAGAAATCTTAGGTAATCTTAGGTAAACACTAAGATAAAAAAATTTTCTATCCATGTTATATTGATAGACTACCAAAATTTAACAATTCTCTCTCCCATTCATTCCATATTGAGCTATTTTCAAATTTTTACAATTATAAGCCTGTGATAGATCCTTAGGATGAATCCCTGCAACATCAACTACTGAATTGAATAATAGGCGCTTTTTTCAGCTGTAACCACATACTGCTTCGCTGCTTCCCAAGGATGTTAAGTCCCACCTGTAACCAGGTAACTATTCCACTACACTCTTCATCTGGAGCAGTGAGACCGCGTTGGTGTGCATGGTCCCAGCCACATGGACTGCGCCAAAGCCTTGCTTCACTGGGCACGTGAACCGGACTTGTCACACTTACAAGTGAAGGCAAGACCCGCCTCCAGAGCCTCCTCCGTTTTCCTGTACTTTTTTTTTTTTTTTAACCCCCTGGGCAATACTGAAGATAGATCCCAGTAAGGCTGAGCTACAAGTCCAGACCTTTCTGAATGTTTTTTTTAAATTCTGAGGCAAAAGGCCTCCTAAGGCCTCCTTATGAAAGGTCTAAGACGGCCCCACGCTCACAACCCTCCCTTTTCAACCTCCCAAGCAGTTTGTCTCCAGCCGGGCTGCCTGAGCTTCTTCCGCAGGGGCGAGGGGGCGTCCGCGCCTGCGCAGAGAGCGCGCCAGGCCGAGGGGTCTCGCCTGCGCGTTTCCCATCCACGCAGTGTGCTCGCGGGTGCGACAGTGGGGAGACCGCGCGGGGACTACAGCTCCCACCGGCCCGCGGCGGAGGCCGGAAGCCCAGAGTGCGGAAGAGGGGGAAGGAGGGCGGAAGAAGAGTGCGGAAGAGGGGGAAGGAGGGCGGAAGAAGAGTGCGGAAGAGGGGGAAGGAGGGCGGAAGAGAGGGAAACACGGCGGAAGAAGAGGACGGAAGAGGGCGGGAGCGCGCCCTCCCCGCCCCGCCCCGGCACCGCCCTCGTCCCGTGTCGCGGCCGCCTGTGGCGTCACCGGTGTCGGT